GATGGATGGATGGATGATAGAGATGGATGGATGGATAGATGGATGGATGGATGGATGGATGGATGGATGGATGGATAGATGGATGGATAGATGGATGGATGGATGGATGGATGGATGGATGGATGGATGGATGTTTGGTTGGATGATAGCTGCTTGGTTGAACCCTGAAGCCCAGACCAGCTAATGATGAAAACCCTGACTGATAAACTAGTTTTTTTATATAACATAAAATCACAACAATTGTTGTTTCAGGTCTTTGTAAAACAAACAAACAAAAAAACAAACACAAACAAACAAACAAACAAACAAATATTAAAACATTATAAAACACCAGTTAGTAAGTGTAGTGAGGAAGGAAGCCAGCAGCTTGTGTTAAGTCTTCACTTCATCACGGTCTCCCATCCTGAGTGGCACAGAGGTGACAGTGGAAAGAAAAAAACTCACTTAAACAGGAAGAAACTTCCAGCAGAACCAGGCTCATGATAGGCAGCCATCTTCCCGGGGAAGAGAGGAGCATTGAAGTGGTCGACACTGAAAGAAAGAATGTGCAGTAAAGTGTGTTCTGTTGTTTTAGGTTACGCTCTGGGTTCAGTTAATTCATCAAGTGGCTCCCAGCTCTACGTGGCCGGAGCTCCCAGGTTCAACCACACAGGAAAAGTCATCATCTTCACCATGAAGGACAACGGAAACCTCACCATCCTGCAGGCTCTGCTGGGAGAACAGGTCTCTGACACGTTGACACACACATGTCTTTGATTTTACATTGACTTCCATTTGTTTTCCAGTCGTTTCTAAAGCCTTACCCTAAACATAACCTAAACTCAATTCATACCTTAGTCCTAAACCAAACCCCTGACCCACCAATAGTATTTCCCCCAATGAAGGACAGGTTTTTGTCCTCATAAGGAAAAGTGGGTCCTCCCTAGGGTGTGTGTACTGGGAAAATGGTCAAAAAGTATCCCCACCAGGTAGCAAAAACATGTATATACACACACTTGAATAAAAACTGTTGGTGATAAATCTAACGATTAAGTGCTGGCATTTAATGAAGACTTATGAAGACCGATGTAGGAGTTGCGCCCACATTAGAATACCAGCAATAGAAAACCTTTGATCATTATAGGTCGCCTTCTACCAAGGGATGACAGCTAAACAAAGACTACCTTCTAAGTAGTAATGAAGACTTAAATGACAGTTTATAAAGCAGGAAATGTTGCAGTAACTTTCAGTTTCCCAGCGTGTTTTCTTTCAAATCTGCTGCATACGCAGTCCATTTTTGTGTTTGATTGGCTGCTATTCAGTTACTTTCAGTTTTTCGCCCGCCTTTTGATACTTTCACCTTTGTTACTTTTAACTTGTAGTAAATTTCTCTTCAGATGGTTGGACAATGCATAGTTTTGAGTAGATTTTTTTAAAGTTTTCTGTGAGGACATGAACTCAGACCCCTGGAACTGCTTCATGGCTCAGACATGTACCTATACAGTATGTGTCATTGTTACATTTTAAATTGGTTTGTTTGTTTGTGTTTGTTTGTTTCTTTTTTGTCAGATTGGGTCATATTTTGGCAGTGAATTGTTATCGATGGACTTGGACAGCGATGGACGCACAGACTATCTGTTGGTGGCAGCACCCATGTTCTACAGCCAAGGATGGGAGAAAGGACGGGTTTATATCTACGCCCTGACATCAGAGGTACGAACAGGTCTGATCCGGTTCCTTCACTCAGTCTGATGTTCGCTCCGCTGACCAACTAAACGCTCTCCTCAGACCTCGTTCACTTTACAAGGGCTGCTCGAGGTGTCAGACCAATCCCAGAACTCTCGTCTGGGTTCTGCGATGACCCAGATAGCTGACATGAATGGAGATGGACTTCAGGAGCTAGTGGTGGGGGCTCCACTGGAGGATGACCACCAGGGGGCAGTCTACATCTTTCATAGCAGGGATAAAAAGATTCAACCACAGTACAAACAGGTAACTGATCAGATCTCTTTGCAGCCTTTCACTTCCTCTGGATGGCATTAATCTGGCTTCCAGTTCTAATGTAAAGAATGTTGGTGTCATTTTTGATCAGGATATGTCTTTTAACCCCCAAATTATTATTATTTTTTTACCAGAACCACATTCTTTCACCTGGGTACTATCACTAATATTCAGAGTAATAAAGTAACTAAGTACAAATACTTTGTTACTGTACTTACGTAGAATTTTTGGGTATCTGTACTTTGCTTGAGTAATTATTTTTCAGCCTAATTTTTACTTCTACTTCTCACATTTTCACACAGTTATGTGTACTTTCTACTCACTACATTTCACGAAATAGGCAAGAAGTAGAAAGTCATTACTTTTATTTCATGTTTGCTTGTTTTCATTCCAGCTTGTAAAAAAATAAATAATATCCATAATGTGCCTCCTAGATAGAGTGAATTTAATTGTGGTTGAATGAGAAGTATACAAATTTGATACTGTATTAGTTTGCACACAAACAAATCATGTCACACTCCTGCAAGACATAGCAGACATATGTAGCCTAATACGAGGATGCATGTGGCGACATATATATATATATATATATATATAGTCTTTAGGGAAAATCTAACTGCTCATTTTAAATCAATAGACTTTAACTTTTACCAAAGTAATTTTTTGG